GCCTCTTGAAACTCCAAACTTGAAACAAGAATGGTCCTTGAGAACTCTGAAAAATTAAATGTGGAATGTGAGCAGTCAATCTGAATGAACCAGACGCAGAGGACATAGCCATGTTCATTCTGAGGCCTTTGCTTTCTGATATACCAATAGACAATGAGCCTGTGCCTGGCCCCACAATGGCTGCTCTTTTTGGTGCTGAGGAGGGATTCTTAGATATGTGGTAATCTAAGGAGGACGGAGAAACATGTTCACCTTATGTTCTGAGTGAAGTTATGAAATTTGGTGGGTAAGAAGGGCAAGGATAAGCCTGAGCCTTTCTTGCAAAGAGCGTAATTCCCCAGGGCCTCCTGCCCATGGAAGGGAGGGATGTAAAGAATGATTGAAATTAAACAGCCTCCTCAGTGACCCAGCTCGCATAGTCATGGCAGAATTAAGTTTCTGGTATACCTGTTTAGACTTGACTAAAACAGTCAGGGTGTCTCTGGATTATACCTTCAGTGTTAACTTTAAAAAAAAAAAAAACACGGGAAAGTGAGATGGTGAGCGGGAAAATGTTATGAAACAAAGCCAGACATTTTGGACAGGGTTATAGAACTGGCCAACCTGGGAACTGACCTGTCTTTATTACAATAGCAATGGGGACTGGGGAGGAGGAGAGGGCAGAGAAGGTAACTAGCCAGGCCCACATATTCCAAGCAGGGAGGACAGAGGGATGTGCTTCCTCTAGCCCAGTCTGGGACTATGTGGAGATGAGGGACATCCCGTCCTCCAGAGAATAGTGGAGCCAGAGCCCAAATTTCTCCAGAAGGGGGTGGGGGGGCTGGGGGGAACAGGAAGGAAATAACCATTGAAAAAACTAGAGTAAATGTGATCTGTGTTTGTAATAGGATCTGGCCTGGGGCAAGGCCATGGCTATTCTTGGCTGGGAAAAAAAAAAAGAAGCATCCCCTAGCTCAGGGCTGGTTCCGGTCAAAGGCGTTGGATGGTCTGGATGCTTTGGCCCAGGAGGCCAAGACTGCCAGTAAAAGGTTAAAGATAAGAAATAAAAAACTGCATATCGAAGCAGGAATCAAAGGATTAACTGTTCAAACCCTCTTCAAACAAGATATTTTACCCTCTAGAACTTACCCCTCCCCATATCAACACCTTTAAATCTCCCATCACTGTTCTATCAAATGAAGTAATATTTATCAAGCACTTGGCATAGTACCTGGCACATAGTAGGCACTGAATAAACGTTTGTTCCCTTTCTCACTCCCTCTTCATTCTCTTTTAATTTTGCCTCTTCTCTATCTCACTCAATAACTGTTCTAGTCCTTTTATATATCCCCCTAAAACTTTTTCATCACTTCCTTCCTCTCAAACTGTCATATTATACCTAATAATTATACCTTCCCCATTACCCCTTGTATCAGCTCTGCCCCCTAAAAATGTCTTACAACTGCTCCATTATCCTTGATAATAGTACACTCCCCCATCTCACCTATATATCCCCTTACAACTGGCCCTACAATCCCAATAACTGACCCATCACATACTACCCATTTGCCATAAATGCCCTTTCTCCCCATAACTCTTTCCTACTCACGTCTCCCCCAAAATCCCCCTACAACTCCTTTATGACCCTCTCTATCCCCCTATGGACTGCTCCTTATTCCAATCAGCTGGAGCTGGAACCTTTAGCTCTGGGGCTCTTTGAAGATAGCCTGAAGATATTTGAGCCATTTGCCCAAATTTGGAGATGGTGGTCCTGGGCCATTTGTTCTTAAATGAGACTAGAATCCTGAGGACGTCCCTCTTCTATTAGCAGGAGCCTGCCCTTCCCTTTTCCCCAGCCCTAGTCTCCCTACTCCAACTCACTTTTCTTGTCCTTTTATGATTCCCAGTAGTTATTTACAAAAGCAAGTTGGAGGAGCATTATGGGTCAAGAAGTACCAAGCTGTGAGTCCAGATCTGGTTCTCATGGTGGTTCTGCTGTTAAACTGCAGTCACTGGGGCTGAGGGCTGGCCCTAAAAGAGCAAGTGAATTGCCAGGGGCCATCCTTGACCTCATGGGATGGGGAAATAGAATATAGGAATCCATAGACGGGGCATTTTGTGTGCATCATTCTGCAATTCCCCCAAGATTAATCAATCGATCAATCAACCAATTAACAAGTATTTATTAAGTCATTACTATGTGACAGGCACTGAGTTAAGTGCTAAGGATACAAAGAAAGGCAAAAATAGTCCCTGCCTTCAAGAAGTTTACATTCTGATGGGAGAAACAACAAGTAAATATATCAGTATATTACAAAATACATGCAGAGTAGATGGAAAGACCTTGGATTCTCCATGAGGTTCCCCAGGGCAGGAAAAGTTGGAGAAGTGGCTAGAATTGGAGAAACATTGTGGGGAGCATGGAGAGTGGTGGAAGAGATGGAGAAGGAGGGAGGGGGAGGGAAACACAGAGAAAGGGTCCTAGGATCCTAGGATTGAAAGTTGGAAAGAATCTTGAAGAACATTTAGTCCAACCTCTTCATTTTATAGATGAGATTAATTGATATGCCCAAAGTCATCAAAGTAACAGAGTTGGAATTTGAATCAGGTCCTCCTTCTGATTTCAAATCCAGTGTTCTTTTCCCTGCATGTCAGTGCCCACTATAAAGGAACTTAGGTCTCAGAAGTTTTGTAAGTGCTGTGTATACCCTCATACATACACAGGCACCCTGACACCCTCCACCACAAGCCACACCCAAGTACACACTTATATTGTCTCAAATTATGGAAGCACGCACATAGATAAGAATCACTCTGATACAAATGCATGCTCCTATGTACAATTCCATCCTGCCACATATAACACATAGTCTACTGTTCTGAATGTGTCACAATAATGTCACTTTCATTTTTGCCTGGCTGTTTCAGGAGATGTTACACATTAACGAATCCGAGATCAAAGATCCAGACATTCATAGTCATATGAATGATATTTTGTATTTTGCAAACTCCTTTTGGCATACCAGTCCTGGAATAAGAGAATCACAGGTCTAACAAGAACACCAAGAGATTTTTTTGGGTCCAGCTCCTTGCCTCCAGATGGGCCTTACCATGCATTTATGATGAGCTTATGTAGAGATCATTATGTTAGGCATGGGGGGGAAGGGGTATGTTGGAGATTTGGAGAGAAATAAAACATTATAGAAACTAGAGGCATCCTGAAGCATTGAACTTGGGAGTCAGGAAGATCCTGCCTCAGACACTTGCTTACTAGCTATGACCCTGGACAACATAGGGATCAAAGCACTTACCTCTCAGGGTTGTTGTGAGGATCAAATGAGATGATATATGTGATATACTTTGAAAATCCAACAGTGCTATGCAAATTGAGCTATTATTATTGCACTCCCATGGAGGGGATAGGGAACAAACAGTCAAATAACAAGAATACAAACTAGAACATCATTAAAAAGATGCAAAATATGATATGGTCTGAGGAAGGAAAGATGATCTTCATTGTCTCCAAGATAAAATACATATTCCTTAGCTTGTCATTCAAGATCCATTCTAATCTACTTTTCCTGCCTTATTTCACTTTAATCCTTTTCATGCATTTTATATTCATCCCAGTCAAATTGTACTGCTAGCTGGTTTTTGAACTTCACTGCCTGCTCCCACCTCCCACCATTCACACAAACCCTGCCCAGGCCTGGAATGCACTTCCTCCTTATTTCTACTTACACCCTAGAAACCTTCCCTAAATCTGCGTCATTGCTAGGGCCCTCCTCAAATTACCTTGTAATATACCTGTAAATCCATTTGCATGTTCTCTCCTTCAAGAATGCAAGCATCTTGAGGGCAAGGAATACTTTGTTTTTTGTGCATCCACTGTGCCATGCACGTTGCTGTTGAGTGGTTTCAGTCGTGTCTGACTCTTCTTGACCCTATTTGGGGTTTCCCTGTCAAAGATACTGAAGTGGTTTGTCATTTCCTTCTCCAGCTCATTTTAAAGATGAGGAACTGAGGCAAGCAGGGAGGATTAAATGACTTGGCCAGAGTCACACAGTTAGTAAGTTTCTGTTGTAAGTAACTGTTATATACTTAATAGGCACTTAATACATGTTGAATTTTGAATATACTTCTACAATATATCTGTGTATTTCCTC